GTATTTTCAAATTTTACTTCTGTTGACAAGACATTCAAGAGAAAGATCACCACAAGTGCGGTCAGCACCCTACTACTACATCATTAATGTGAACATCACAAATCAACCTTCTCAACTCAGGAGCACAACCACTTTTACCATCGGAACAAGAAAGATGAGCATTAGTAGCATAATTACGATTTTCGCCATCAACGATGGAACCGGCCTCAAGGCGCCCCAGTATCCGGCCCACCCCCATTTCTTATACCACCCTTGCTAATACCACCGCTAGAAGCATTAACACCACCATTGTCCGGGACCCCGGCCGTCTCCGTGGCGGGGAAAGCTTTGACGAGTGCTGCCTTCAGCTTCCGTCTGGCTTTGAAGTCGGGAAGGGGACAACAATCATGAGGCAGAGTGTCGTGTACTCGATTCAAGACCCACCAAGTTTTCATTTCTCCCTTTCCCTGTAAAAAAGAGAAATACAAGAGCAGGTTGGTCAACACTGCCCAAAACGCATGACAAATTTGTGCATATTTTTCAGCCAGACTTTGACATACTGCTTAGAGTTGTTTGTTGATAGTACAGAAATAAGATATACACGAATTGATTATATATATAATCCTTCATGGCGAAATTTATGGGTAAGCAAGAGACTTAATTTTGAGATCGTACTCAAACTAAATTTGACTATAATTGCATTGCTCCATAAATCAGAGCTTTTTTCTCAATTACTTGTTTGCCCAGAATTATTGGAATAAAGAAGCTTATATGGGAATGCTTATAAGAGGGATTCTTCGAAGTGGAGAAATAAATAACCAAGGCAAGGAAATATGAAGATTTAACAAACGTAAAATAAAATTTATCAGATGAATTTTCCACTAGGATTCATTGAAAACTTTCTGACAATACTAATAAATATAATGAGAAGAAGCAGATACTTTTGGCAAGGCAGGTGGATAGAGAAGTCGGTTTGGTTCCCAGTACAACTTTCGGGAAAACCATGCAAATGAATAAAGCAGTGTAGAATTAGAATTGTGTATAAAAAGAGACAAACAAACGCCTTAGGGATGCCTTCTCTTAAAGAATTTTTCTATCCTTTTTCGAAGCAAGTGGTTACAAAGTGTTGTGTTCATGTGATAATGTCAACTACAAAACTGGCTTATCACATGGCTCATACAGTGGACTCATAAACCCTTTGTTTAACTGGATGTGATGGCTTGACAGAAAAATGGAAGAATTGGGGTCGTTGGCGTTTATTAACTTAACACCAATAAAAAATAAATCAGCCTAGATCGCATAAAGCGATTAAAGGATTTTAGGGGAGATTTCCCCACAATGATATGACTAGGCCTCGCATTGCCAGAGCATTGCAGTGAGCCTTTGGTAAAGGGTCGCTATGATAAGCACGACTTAGGTTAAAATTCCGCTGGGTTCCATGCTTAAACTGGAATGCATCTTAGGTTTGAAAACTTCAGGTAGGCAGGGCTAGGTAAAATCGCTTGGAATCATGAAACCTTTACTTATGATTTGGGAGAAAATCTCCATTGCTGATTCTTAAATCATCTTGTGCCACCTAATGGTACTGGGTTGGTTAGAAAACGTGTACTACACTAGGGCTGAATAGGTAAAGGTGACATATGTTTAAATGTAAATGCAAATGAAGACTCACTTTGATCGCAATGGTACCACGTTGCTCAAAGGTGAAACAGCCGGTATTCACGAGGAGTTCGTATGTAGTGTTGCTGCAGTGTATTTTGTAAGCTGAAAAAAAGTATGCCTCTGAAGAAAGTGAATAATTTTCTGACATCGAGTAACCGCCTCTGCCATAGCCAGAAATGCTGATAAGTCAACGACACAAGCAGCACCTAAGATAATTTCTTGGGTACAAAACCTTGAAGGCAAATTTAACTAGTGTACAGTAAGGGGTTTAGCTTGAACTGCACTTAGACTAGCTTGGTATAATGGTTGAGCGGCTATATAAATAGAGAATTATTTTATAATTAGCTTACTACTAGTGGTGATCATAGTAATATAAGTAGTAACACCCTGAGTAATGACCAGTTAATGCAGTCGAAGCAGTCTTCTGTGCTTTTATGAACAATTAGCTCTTGCCACCCACTGAACAAGACACATGTTCCTCACCGTCACAGTTACACAGTCTATGACTAATCAATATAGCAGCCACTTTGTTGGGTTATATCCTCTTCCGGCAACCTAGTTCTTATAATTCTTTTTACGATTTAACTCCTTTGTTTCCATTCGCTTTCTGTCCTCTACCTGCTTTATTTAATGCTCACCTTTTGTTTGAAACTGTTAGCATAATTTAAAAACAAGACTCATTAATGCCTCATGATAAACATGAAAAAGCAGAACTATACAAGCAAATATGAAGACCAAGATTTTGTGGTCTCTGTTTTGGTAACAATCCTTTTCGCAATATTGATGTGGCTTGAACTCGTTTTCGAAAATTTGACGTGTTATCAGGGAAACCTAGTTGGACACACCTTGTCCGACTTATTCTGCTATAATATGCATCATAATTCCCAGCGTTGGACCGTGGGCTTGGTACATTCCCAGACGTTTCGCCGGCATCGTAATCGGCATCATCAGCGAGACTTGTCATTCTCAGCACCTAGCTAAAACTCGCAAAAGAGACAAGTGAACTCAATCCCTAGTCAACCACTCGGCAGAAATTCGTCAACTAATTGACTTTACTTGTCTCCTTGACGAGTTGTTATATGGTGCTAAGGATGGCGATACTCACTGACGATGCCGACTACGATGCCGGCGAAACGTTTGGAAATGTACCACGTCCACGGCTCAACTTTGGAAATGATAATGCAGACAATGGACCCCGAACTAGGTGCGTTTCAATAATTTTTCCTACCAATATGACCATGTTGCGAAAACAAGGTCAAACAACCTCTATGAAAAAAGTAAGCTCATCCGAAACGAGGGAGCATGCCTCGCTGACTGCGTCATCCTAAATGTTGTAGTAAATCGAAATGGCGCAATTTTCTTTAAGCCTGGTGATTTACTTTGACGATGTCTGTCGCATGACAGACGAAAGCTAAGCAAAGATTTATCGGGGTCGCAGGGCAGTGCGCCGAGGACCTATTAGCACAAATCTACAACCACAGCTCCAAGGCGACCCCCCACAGCCTTCGGTAGAACCAACTTACGAATCATCTTCATTCGCCTCTTCAAACAAAATGAAAGATACTCCAACAATAAACGCGAATAAAATTTGTCAAAAGCACCCATGTCCCCTACAGATCCAAAGTGATGTGACAAAGGTGAGGATGAAACTAAAGCTCAGCTCGCATAAGAAACAAGAGTAAGATCTTGTAGGTGAAAAAACTGGGTTTCAACGACTCCCTTACTGAATTAATGTGACTCGATTTTTCTTTTCAAAGGAAAAGTTGGTTTGGAGGATTGTTTTGGAATCAAGAACGTTGGATTGTGTGAATAAGTCTTCAACTCACCGTCTTACTACCCCGACGAACCCATGTTAGACTTTCGTCTGTCATGTAATAGTCATCAGAAAACATACTCTACGAAATAGTTCACCAATATACTACACCAATAGAAAAGGTAGCCAGCTACAAGTCTACTCACTTCTTATATCTGATTTGCGCTCTTAATGAGTCAGGCTTGCCCTATATGTTTGCGGATGGAAAAAATTTGTTCATGTCAGCTGTTCCGCCAAACAATCAAAATAGTCTACGATCCTATAATGCTGATGCATCCTTTTTATGCGTTATTGTCTATTCTGTGCATACAATATCAATTATAAAACAAAACGATGGACAAGTTTGAGGGAAGTGAGTGAAGGTGTGTCTGTTCTCGTCAATCCCATATTTATGTCAACTTCAAATATTCACTTCCGTTGGGCGTTCTTACTAATGTGTCAGATTCAGATTGGCGCCTGACGGACTAACCAGCCTTAACGTCACGGATCAGTTTGAAACATGCAATGGGAAGCTTTTTTGAAATCTGCGAGAATTTGATGGGTCAACAGTCGTATTGCATGAGTCAGTTTAAGCGATGTTAGTAGAAATTGAAAGTGTCGGAAGATGCAATTTTGCGCAATGAGGATAATCAGTGAGAAATGACTAGGATGGAATACTGTATGCTACCTGCTTCTCGACGAACCTGGTACGTTTGAATGAAGCATTTTCCGATCAAATTTCCTGCCTATTCAACACACTTCGAAAAACGTATCCCTTACACTAAATCTTTTGCATCTTTTCTCTGTCCTCTGCTATCCTCTTTCCCTCTTCAAACAGCCCAACAGCCT